CATGCTTCTTGACAAGTGGTCAAAAATCATTTTATTCATTTATTGGAAACATTTTCATGATCGCTTTTTTCGTTTTATATTTTCATTTATTGTCATTTCCATTCAGTCTGTCATTAAGTGCTATTTAAAATGTTAATGTGCTACATAATACCCTTCAATATCCACACGTTCAAACAAAGTGTGCAATCCAATGAATGTTAATCTAACTTTGTTTTGATAGATAACATATCTCTTTTTCTTCTCTCAATCATTTTATTTCTATTGTGCACTCTAATCAATATTAATCAAACTAGTGTTCGTTTATACATTTTAAGAATGGCGTTTATCTTTTTTGAGAATGAGTTCTTATTTGATTTTATTTATTGGGGTCTACAACATATGATACACATGTTTGTGTCAGTAAATGTGTGGCGGGGGTGTTTGTGAAATTAACGGGGCCAGAGCTGCTGTCAGACGAACAGCTGTGCTGCGTCATCACAAACGGACGTCGCTTCACGTGACGCTCCGGAGGAAAGGACGTCCCATTGCTCTTAAAACTAATTTCCCTGCTTCTCGTGGTTTCCTTGCGTCCAAGCCCCCAGGAAGTGCGCCGGACTCAGATGAAAATATTCGTGCTGGCCAAACGGTGGTACTACACTTCCGTTTGGTTGCCAGGCCCGGAAACACTTTTTCCCATTGACTTACATGGAGAAAGAGACGTCTGTAAATCGTTGGATAATTTTTTTTAAACTACCCAGTATGAACACTTGTATAGCCCTTATTCAAAACATTCGTTCCTCAAGTTGTAAAAATTAGCTAATAACGTTATTCTGAGAGTTATTTCCCTCTGCATTATGAACGCGCATCTAACCCACGGGACCGCGCCGCCCAGCACGTTCATGTTACGTGTCCCGACCAATCAGAGCACACTGTGCTCACAGGGAGGGTGGGGGCCGGAGCTGATTGATTGATTGATTGAAAAGTGTATTAACAGCTTGTATATTGGGTACAGTACAGTACAGCTCAAAACATACAATTGTTAAGGGGATGCAGACCAGAGAAAGACTTTCGTCTTGTTTACATCAGGGTCCCCCATTTCCAATTCATCATATCATTTAAGACATATTTGACATACAGATGGCTTATTCACAATTTACATACAGGTGGTTTTTTACATACAGATTGCTTATTTACAATTTTCATTTTAGATTTCGTTCTATTAGCTATTGGAGCTACAACGAGCCGTTAAAGGCAGAGAGTGAAATTCAGTGAATACACATAGTTTACAGAGATGCTGTATGAGAAACCAATGTGAGTTGCGTTTATCTTTACCCATGGATGCACAATAAGAACGGATCCATATCGTCTCACTGCCATCCCACGGAGCTGTAATAATGGATATATTGCACATGTTTGCTGTAGGCCTAATTCATTATCATACTATGGGCTGTCGATTAAATCTTGTACCGTAAATGTTGTATTAAATAAAGTTAATATTACTTATTATTATAAATATATATATATATATATATATAGGCCTACAGTGCAATCATTCTTTCATGCTAAATGAAGCTCTGTTGCTTGGATATCACTAGATCCTGTTACAGCGTAATATAAGTACATAACGATTGATGTGTACATTAGCATAATTACTAGCTAGCCGCTAGCTGCTAACTGCCGCCTCGTTAATATCAAATCCATCATAATGACAAATCATGGTGCTGTTACGTGTACGCAAATTGACGTGCTTGATGTGAACGAGCATTTTGGTTAAAGTTGCGCATGCGCTATGAGCGCACATACGGGTACTTCTCAGGCATGCCGGGTAATCTGTGACGTTTCACTCTCTCAAAAGTTGGGCCATTTTATCATCATGTGCTAATGAGCAACTCTCATAGGAATGAATGAGGCCCCGCCTCCCACGCTGTATCCAATTATTATTATACATCCATGTTTGCGTCCCTCCATGCTTCCCTGGTGGGAGGGACTAGACGCAGGGAAACGACGCAAGTGAGGGACGCAAGGATTTAATTTAACCGACCTGAGACGGGGCCCAGGAACAATAAACCAGGAAGAAAACAAGACAGGGAGAACAGCAAAATAAACCCAAACATACAAAACTACAAACGTGACATAACATAAGAATCCTGACAGTTCCACTCCAGCCACTCACGCCACACTACCAAACTCCCCAACACACACTAAAGAGAATCTGATCTCAAGACTAAATGGACAGAACAGCAACTCACTTCTGTGTGGACCACCAAAACTAACACTCTATGCTCCTTTCTCCCTAACAACTAGACTGCATTCATTAACAAAATGAGGTGCAACTGCCTACTAGGCCACAGCTCCTGCCAACATGTCACAGTAGGGGCACAGCATTAAAGGGCCCCTTTATTATTTATTAAAAACACCCATCAACACTGCCCAAAAGAATGGGCATAACAGAAGAAGATAGAAGCTTCTAATCACTTCTCGCACAATCCCAACAAATGTGTGCAGTTTTCTGTGTTGAATGTTTTTTTCAATATCAAGGTAGAAGTCTTTGTTCTTGTTTTAATAAAATAAGTAAAAAATAAGCAAAAGATTCAAGCTCCGTTTTTGTTTTATGGGCATATATCCCCTATTATAGTATATACGTATTTAATGAGTGACATATAACATTACCTGAGGTTATGTTGATTTCTGGGATGTGTAAAACTTGATAATACAGTAAACAATGATCATTTACAAGGCAAGACACAAACATATACAATAACGGAAATGTCCTATTGTGGGCCTCAGCGGGTTAATGGATGTATTATGCAGATATCTGTCATTCAAGTATACTGGGACAAAAGGAACATTTGAGTCATCCATTATCACCTGGTGCTATATGTTTATAACAAAACAGTAGTTTTTATTATATATTATTCCATTAGGTGCTATACGTTCTATTTGAAGCTACTGTTTTAAAGTCAAATACTTATTTTTGCCTCTGAGTAGCCATGTCAATCAAATAAAACTCAGACACACTATCCAAACAGTCTTTATGAATGAAGGAAATGCATAAAGGGAGATGCAGTGTAGACAGGCAGAATAAAGTCCAAACAACGGTTATAAAATAAATGAAACCTGGTCCTAAGACTTTTTCTCTGTAAATAAAAACAAAGTGTGCACCTTTATAAACCCAAAACTGCAGATATATGAAGGAGGAAGTGGAAGTAGTAATACATATTGTCATTCTTTGATAGCTAAATGTACAATTAAAGGTCCCCTATTATACTGATTTTCATCAACATATTAAAGGTCTCTCAGATATATACAAAACATGTCTCTGAAGTGCAAACAGATCATTGCAGCATCCCATAATCCCCTCTGTTTCAGCCCTGTTTCAAAAGTGCTGATTACTGTTACTGTAGATGAAAATAAGGAGCCACGCCCCTCTGAGAGAGATTTGGTTAAGAAGAACATAATGGTGCTCTAGGAGGAGATTCGGGGGGTTATTGGCTAATAATTACGCTAGCCAAAAAAAAAATCGTTATTACATCATAAAGTGGCCAAAATCTCATCAGCTCATTTTCAGACTACTACTTTCAGTTTTTATACAAATGGATCAGGAAAAAGGTGAGCGAATCTTTTTTCCTATAACTTTAAGAGTCTCTTTACACAGAGAGGACACATGTTGATGTATAAAATACATACAAAAGTAGATTTTGCATAATAGGTGACCTTTAAAGGATCAGAATAGTGTTGCAATAGTTGACATTCTTCTTTTAAAGGATCAAGAGAGATTTGATTTGAGAACTGATAGTCCCTAGTTTCATATAATAAAGTGTAAAGTGGGTTTGTGGGATTGCTGTATTTGAGTTTGAAAAATGTTCACCATAAAGCCACTTCAGGGTGAATGTGTGCTCATTAAGGGACAGCAAACAGAGCGTCGGCACAAAGAGCTCCATTGTTTGTTGCACAATAAGAGACATGAGAGGGGTGTCTGTGAGTGGTTCTGCAGGGGGAAATGACTGATACAGGTTTCAACATGCTAACAGGAATCCATTGGGGGGAGGGGGGCAGAGGAGGGTCGAGGGTCTGAACTAGTTCCACATCTGATAAGATAGATAAAAAAAGTAGATTGTTGCAGGTTTAGGAGGAGATACACCTGAACAAACACGATGATTGAGTTACCTTAGAGACCTTTCAGAAACAAACAGGCTTTTTAGAGTGACATCAGACAGATGCTTGAAATTCCTGCTGTGACTGCTCGCTGTGTTTGTCGTCTTCCTGCCGGACCCTGCACCCCTCCCCTCACTCCAGGCGCTATAAAGCATCTGAGTACATAGCGTGCTTTACTCTTCTCTGCATCCCGAGCAGCAGCACTCCTCCACCATGACCTCCTACGCTCGCTTCTCCTCCAGCAACCGCCTAGGCTCCATGAGGGCCCCCAGCGTGTACGGTGGTGCCGGGGGGTCCGGGGTCCGCATCTCCAGCAGTGGCCCCAGGAGCTTCTCCTCGGCCGGAGCAGGGTTTTCCTCCGGAGCCGGGTCGGGGTTTTCCTCCGGAGCCGGGTCGGGGTTTTCCTCCGGAGCCGGGTCAGGGGTTTCCTCCGGAGCCGGGTCAGGCTTCAACCTGAAAGACGCCATAGATGTAAATGACAACAACAAGAAGGCCACCATGACCAACCTGAACGAGCGCCTGGCCACATACCTAGACAAGGTGCACATTCTGGAGAAGGCCAACGGAGAGCTGGAGCTGAAGATCAGACTTTTCCTGGAGAGCAAGACCAAACCCGAAGGCCACGACTGCTCCGGCTTCACGGCAGCCATTAGCGACATGCAGGACCAGGTGAGGGAGTCAGGTTTCACATTATTGTCCCACAATGTAAGGTAATTGGATTGAGTTTCCACCCACGTCATAAAACCCAATCCACATGCAGAAAATCCAAGACAAAGAGAGGTACAATAAACATTACACAAGTATAGCTGCTGAGCAAGATGCAAAGTGGTGACAGTGAAAAAGATTAAAGTAAAGATAAAGCTTTGTTGGTTTTCATATTTTATGTTTTTATTGCAGGAGCAATACAATTGTTTTAAAATCTGGACTCCTCCCAGATGGTAGTTATTTAGTTTACTTGATTCATTGCTTGATTTGAACAGTCCACAGGATAAGATGTTTCTTTCTTTTCTTGAGAATTCCAAGAGATCTTAAAGCATTCATATTACCAACAGAATTGCAAACAGTTGCCTCAGTGTAGGTAGATTGCAGGATTGGATGCTGTCTCATGTTCAACCCTGATCCCAAAGCAGAGCCACAATAAAGAATGAGATCATGTGAAAATGAATCTTGTTCAGCTCAGAGATTCCTCCTCCCTGACAACGTTAGGACCCTCAGGTGTGCAGCCTGCAGACAGACAGACGAGAAACACGATGTGTTTCCTGCAAGATGCATTCAGGTTCAGCCACACCCTAAACACAGCAAGGCTTCCTGAAGCGGGATCAGGCTCAGGCTCCAGTTTAGCATGATGTGCATACAGGCAACACAAACCAATGAGGCAGAAATGTGACTTATGTTTGAATATAATGATCTCTTCTCTTTTCATGTTGAGTCTAAAACAGGAACAACCTGCAGATAGGCCTTAGTGTGCTGTTTTTATTGCACACATTTTCCCATTCTTGCAGTGTTGGAGGAGACTGGGACTTAATCATTTCATTGCAGAAATGTCATTTTGTAGAATTGAGATAATATGTTGTCTTAGAGTCTCACGTTCTTTTCAGAGAGTCTGATGATGAATAAAAGACTAACGGTGAGTCCTCTTTGTTTCAGATCCTTTACGCCACCACCAAAAATGGATCTCTGTACCTGGCCATCGATAATGCCAAGCTGGCCACTGACGACTTCAGGGTCAAGTGAGATCATGATCATTTATTTAATGTATTGGAGCTTTTCAATGTATTGTCAAAGCCCAGCCTAGTTAAGGCCACTAGAACTTAAAGAAAATTAGAGATGCAAAATACAGGTAATTAGAAACAAAAGACATATAATAGATAACAATGGGTTACTCAAATATACCTTTAATGCTAGTTTCCTGATCATGTTTACCTTTTTATAAACTGTTTTATGTGGGTTTTTTTCTGTATATTTACTAATTATTTTTTATTTCTTTGTTATTCGGCCCTTGCTGACTATGATTTATCAGTATCATGATGAAATTAGGAGGACATATGCTATCCCCTTTACATATTATCCTCTTGCCGTCAACTCCAGATATTATTATAGTAAAGTATAGTATCTATATATATCTTTAATAATAATAATAATAATTATTATTATTGGATATTCATAGTTGTTTAATCAACAGAAAGAATACTGTACTGTAAGTACATTATCTTCAAATAAGCCTCACCTTATCAAGTACTGATGCGCTATAGTATGTACCGAAATGAGAATTTGCTGTGATTTCTCTGGGTTTGTTTCGGGTGGAGTAGCTGATGGAATGGTTGGTGTGTTGCAGGTATGAGAACGAGCTGGGCATACGTCAGTCGGTGGAGGGGGACATCGGCGGGCTGAGGAGGCTCCTGGACGAGCTGACACTGGGCAGATCGGATCTGGAGATGAATATCGAGTCTCTGCGGGATGAACTCATCCAGCTGAAGAAGAACCACAAGGAGGTAGGCGACAACCTGCAAACTCAATAAGATTTAAATCAGCTGGATTTTAAAAGAGGTAAAATATTGAAAATGAAAGGAATTTAGTTATTTTCAACATACCAGTATCTCAGAAAAGGACTGTGAATAAATCCAATCTGTATTACTGGGTGCTGGTAATGTCCCAACATATGACAAATCCTAAGTCTGAAGCAATTACAAGGAGAATCATTTAAAAATGACATGAAAAAGAGAAAAGCATGCAGCAAACACTCAAATTTGTATTCTGATGAACAAACTAACACCTATTCTTTATTATCGACTTCATTTTGTCTTGGAACTGTTCTCTTGCAGGACCTGTTGGCCATGGGCTCCCAGGTGGGGGGTCAGGTGAACGTGGAGGTGGATGCCGCACCGCAGCAGGACCTGTCTGCTGTTATGGGTGAAATCAGAGAACATTACGAGACCGTGGCAAACAAGAACCGGAGAGATCTGGATGTCTGGTTTCAGGCCAAGGTGAGCAAAGTCAACCATCTGATGAAAAACCCTTTTGTGACTTTTCATTAATGACTTCTGAAATCATCTTCCTCAAACAGGATTATTTCTAGCAAGATTGTGTTTTTCCGCATTTAGACTAGACTTCACAAAAAAACTATAGCAGTCCAGTCTATCTTTCTGTCTCTATAATAAAGGCATTTTAATGCAATGAAAGACTATTAAAATCAATATGATATATCAGGAACAAATATGAGATGTTGGGTAAAAATGGTAGTCTACCATGTCATGATTTCGACTTTCAAAGATAAAAACGTCCAGAGGTACAGAGAGCAATAAAGGTTTGTGAATTGAAAGTGACAGTGTCATCTTCAGTTTGATTTATAAGCAGATCTGATTTCTAATGTACTTTTCAATGTTTTCTTGTTGTTTTGCAGTCTGAAGAACTCAATAAGGAGGTGGCAGTGAGCACAGAGACTCTCCAGTCCTCTCGCTCGGAGATAACAGAGGTTAAACGCACGCTGCAGGGCCTGGAGATTGAGCTCCAAGCACAGCTCAGCATGGTGGGTATACTGTAGCATTCAATCAATGGAGGAAGAAGTAATCAGGTCTCTTACAGTACTTCAGGAGAAATACCAATAATAGAGTGGTCACAAATACAAGTCCTGAAATACACATTTTACTCAAAAACAAAAGTTTTGGCATCAAAATTGGGCAGCAGTAGCTCAGTCTGAAGGGACTTGGCTTGGGAATGGAATTGGTGCAGATCAGACCAGAAATATGGAGTGTGGACTGGTAGCTGGAGAAGGGCCAGTTTGCCTGCGTGCAATTGTAAAATAACACCAGAATGAAGAACACATTTCCCATTTGGGAATTCATAAAGGTGGATTCAATCTTAATTAAAATATATTTTAGCATCATACATAGTATGGCATTCGGTTGTATCTTATTCAATTGCTATTCCACATATGACAATAAAGCCTATGAATCTTTGAATCCTCACATTCTTTCTTCTCCTTCAGAAAGCGTCTCTGGAAGGGACCCTCTGTGACACACAGAACCGCTACTCCAACATGATGGGAGACTACCAGAACAAGGTGTTGGGCCTTGAGGGCCAGCTAGCTCAGCTCAGGTCCGACCTAGAAAGACAGGGACACGAGTACCAGGTCCTGCTGGACACCAAGACCCGGCTGGAGATGGAGATCTCCGAGTACAGGAGGCTGTTGGACGGAGAGTTGTTCAGGTGAATGCACCGGCCCATACTGGGAGACAGATTAATACATCTAATTTGTGTGACACAAATGGTAGTTCATTCAAATTATGATTATTTACCAAGAAAAAAGGGTTAACCATTTTTTTCATTTTTATAAAACAAATAAACTAATACATAATAACCACAATGACAATCAACATGGTGTCCGAGTCACAAATAACATACAAATCATATATCTTGCAACTAATAAAAAGAAATGGAGATGTGTGAATGCTCAGCAGACTTTCTGTAGAAGGGTTACGATTGGGGAAGAAACAACCTTAAAGTGGTATGTATATAAAATGTAAAATGAAAGGTTAAAAGAAAAAAAAGTATTGTTATAGAGACTAACTGTTTGTGTCGTTCTGCAGCCCGCCGGCCACCACAAAAACCCAGAAAGTGTTGATCATCACCAAAGAGTACACTGACGATGAAGAGGTCAGCTCTGAAAGCCAGGAAGTTTGAGAGAACAAACATCTGTCAACACCAAGCAAACCGTTCCAGAAAACACAAATAAAATACTTCTGATGAACTCAAACATGTAAATGTGTGTGTTTTCTGTTACATTACATCTATAATGTATTCCGATCCTTCACTTAAGTGAAAGAACTGTATAACATTGTAAAAAGTATCTGTTACAACAATAAGAAAGTCGGTAACTGTGCAAAAATAATGCAAAGTGCTTTAATATTGGCCAGATGTTGGCGTTATTAGGACCATGTTTGGAGATCTTATGCGTAAAGTTATAGGGAGCCAGTGTACCAAGTTTGACATCTTTGTTATATAGATTTGGAGATATTAGATGATGAAGGTGTCTATGGTCACATTTTGTATTGACCCTTATGGGGAAAACGTTTTGTTCTTTCAGGTTTCGTGCAAAGAATGCATGTGGAATGGTTAAAACAAAGAGCACATCTTCAACTGATTTGATGGAAATTATAGGATGCGCTTAAAAAGTGGCTAACTTATAGCATTCAGTATAAAACATTTAAAGGAACATATATACGTGTATGTAGACGACACATTTATCTTTCTGTAAAATTCACTTAAATCCCATCAATTCTCTCTGAAGACAATAACAGATCAAATGTGCTGAACTTTACCTGAAACTGTGCAGGTCTGGTGGAATGTAACTAAGTATATTTACTTAAGTCACTTGAGAATATTCAGTAATACAGTATTTTCACTTTTAGATTTTTGGTTGATACTACATTTTTTACTCCAAATTTCTTATTTTACAGCTTTAATTACTAGCTACTTTATTAGCTGTTTATGGAAAATTATAAATCAACTAATAAATGACGAGATATTATTAGTTTTGTATTTTCTTCTTTTTATCTCATGTATATTGTTTTTTTCATTGTTGTGGGAGGCTGGGACTCAAGATGTTCATTGCCCGAACTAAGCTTTAGTTGTTGTGCAAATGACAATTCATCTTGAACCTCAGAGCTGAAAGAGGAGAACATACAGCATATCTTTTTTATATATATTTTTAAGAGTCACCTTTGTCTCTGTTTTTATTTTAACTTTTTATTTCCTTTCAAAAAATGTCCGTCACAACCTGACACAAGACCAGACAGAAGAGAGGAGACCACAGAAAGGAACCTCAAATCAACCAGCAAACCAAATGAAGGGTGTCTGACTGAAAACACATAGCTGACTTCTCCCCCGTAGGACCGGTCCTGACTTCTCCCCCGTAGGACCGGTCCTGACTTCTCCCCCCGTAGGACCGGTCCTGACTTCTCCCCCGTAGGACCGGTCCTGACTTCTCCCCCCGTAGGACCGGTCCTGACTTCTCCCCCGTAGGACCGGTCCTGACTTCTCCCCCGTAGGACCGGTCCTGACTTCTACCCCGTAGGACCGGTCCTGACTTCTCCCCCGTAGGACCGGTCCTGACTTCTCCCCCGTAGGACCGGTCCTGACTTCTACCCCGTAGGACCGGTCCTGACTTCTCCCCCGTAGGACCGGTCCTGACTTCTACCCCGTAGGACCGGTCCTGACTTCTCCCCCGTAGGACCGGTCCTGACTTCTCCCCCGTAGGACCGGTCCTGACTTCTCCCCCGTAGGACCGGTCCTGACTTCTCCCCCGTAGGACCGGTCCTGACTTCTCCCCCCGTAGGACCGGTCTAACCTGTCGGTCCCCTCATCAACGCAGATACACATTTCTGGTTAAACTACTTCAGCCCCAGGTTCCTTAGAAAATAATAATCAACTGGTGAAGTTTTATGGTGATATCTATTATCTATTTTAGTGTGTATGAAATGTATCAATTTTACAATCCATATCTTTAAAAGCTGTTATCTCAAAATGTGTTATTTCTGATACTGTGAGGGAGAAATCTCCACAAAGTTATTTCAGCAGTGTTTACACAGACCTTTGTTCAGATATCATTCAGAGTTTCTGATAGCCTTTTATTACTAAATACATTATATTATATTATTTTCTGATTTGTGGAGTGAAAGATGTAAAATCCCCTCTGTAAAAACCTTTGACTATGAAAACAATATGAAACAAGCATTTTAAACTGGAATACATTAATAATAATGTCTTTAAGTCAATCAACATGAAAGTGGTAAACTTCTAAAAAACGTTACTTTAGAATGCCTCTTACTTACGTTGATATAATTAGAGGTACATTTTAAGAAATTAGAACTGGATCTTGACATTTTAACATTGATGACCTCCAATTAAAAAAACATCACCAGGGAAGAATTATCCCACTCAGATTGTTTAATTAGAAGTATTTAAACGCGGCTGAACATTTTTACATTATTTTGTATTTTCCGGAATTTAAGATGGTCAGACAGTATTCATTTAAACTGTAAAAAGTTATTAATAAAGAAAAGTCGTGTTCAGCCTCACTTTAATATTCCATCTGTCACATACTTATGTCCCCTTTAAATATCCTCTATTCCTTGAAAGGCTGAGCATTTGTAAATTCAACGTGTCCTTTTATGTGTTGTGACTCGACAGTTATGTGAGGTCAAGTTATGTTTTTTACTCTAGTGTTTTGATCTCGTCACTTCCTGTTTTTATTTTGAAAGTAATCCTTCCCTCTCATTCCAGATCCCACATGTCCTGCCTTTATGTGTTTCCCGCCCTTGGCATTGCTTGGCCCTGCCCTGATAGTTTTCACCTGTGCCCATCCTCCTCACGTATAAATAGCCCTTGTGTTTCTTTGTCCCATGTCAGTTCGTTATGTTTCATGTTGTGAGAACCTGGGCCTTTTGACTCCTGAAACTTCACTTTGAGAAATATACCTTTTGTCAAGTGAGTTTTGTTTTGAAGTACTACTTAGTTTTGTTATTTAACTACTTTCTATTTTTGGAAAGTACAACTTTGTTTTTGTTATTAAACAACATTCTATTTTTGGACAACTGTCTCCGAGTCCTGCTTTTGGGTCCTGCGTCCTGTGTCTCAGTTCATAAGAGTACGAACTGACCAAATATGGACCCAGCGGATTCAGAGACAGTGAAGATAGCTCTGCGAGCTCAAGGAACGAGACTACACCAGCATGAGGAGCAGCTGGGCGCCATCAACCTGGGGGTGAGGGACCTGACCGGTGTTCCGGATTAACTGTTTTCCCGATCAACTGTGGCACAGATGTGGAGGCGTGGCCTACCGACTGAAATACACATTTCGATCTCTTCTTCTGTCGTTTACTTAAATCTTTTGGTATATTTGGCTCGGTAGGAACACTTTGATGCACTTTCAGTACCAGTGTGTGAGGTTGTGGTTACGATGGAGATATCCGGACGCGAACAGCGAGGACTACAAAAAGAAAAACGAGTTGACTGGGGATGTCTGTTCAAAACATTGCGAGCTCCAATAAATCATTAAAACCAGCTATTGTTGCCCGACTTATTACTGAATATCGTTCTTAATGTGATACCAAGTCCATCTGAGACCTGTGTACACCTTCAGACAGCCTCCCAGTGAAGCACACGTTGTTTACTCAGAGTTTGAAAGCAGCGTGGAGAAGTCTTCAGCTGTGTTAAACTGTGATCCTCTCAGGTAAACTGCGATTCGCCCATGGGAAAATGGGATCCGCCCAGGTTAAACTGTGTTACGATTTCTGTGGCTATCTACCAGCGATCATGTTTAATATGAAAGACACACACATGTATCCCTTATAAAAACGGCATTCTGCAGCACTCATCCAGATAACATGTGACTGTTAACTCATTTTGCAAAGATAGCAGCAAAAATGTCATTGCTGCATGTGCAGGGATATTTAGACTTTAAAATGCTGATGGTGACAATATTAGGAATCCTCTATTCAAACTACATAATATTCAGTGTCCATCGACATGAAAATAACAAAAAAGTTCATGCTGGACTCAAACCCGAGTCCCAACAGCAAAAGTCACTCCAGCCCTGCGCGTTATGAGTGCGCCACGGATCAACACGACGTATCGAACCACCACTCTATAATATTTTAGATTAACCTTGTTAAAAAATGCAACCCGACCATCATTTATAATGTGAACGAATGTATGTACACTTTAAGCCATATTATATACATATATATATATAGTATGGCAATGGGTGTCAGATATAGGGTTACAATCTTAGCTGTGGTCCTTTCTGTTTGGAGTCTGTGTTGGTATGTTCCTTCTGCTGCTCCAGTGCCCACCGAAAGTGCAAAGACATGCAAGTTAGGTGAATTCAACTATACATTTGCAATAGCTGTGTGATAGTGAGTGTTCACCCAGTGATGTTGAGGTAACCTATCCAAGGTGCATTCCCAGTCTTCCAGCAGAAGGACATGCATTTCTCTACATACCCACGACGTATCAATGTCCCCTTCAGCCAATGAGCTGAGCTCCCCACAAGCCCTACATAGCTGGGATAGGTCATCTGCAAAAAAGAAGATAATGTAGTTTAATGGCAATATAGACACATTCAAGTTTACCTGGTAGAGTTCTGTATACCTGAATTTGTCACCAGAGACATTGACATGTCCAGCCGCAACATGGCCACACCCTTCTGGTCAACAGGGTAGTCGACATTTTCCCCAGACAATATCTGCTCTGCAAGCTAAAAAGTGTCTGATAAGTATCATTTTGAGGACTTTTTAATAATGACAAATAGCAACAGATATAATCAAATGTTTACCTTGCACACAAACACCTCGCATGACGATGAGTCCTGTTGTTTGGGGTGAGCAACGGTTGCGCATGCCCATCTCCCTATTTTCGGACACTTTTTGCAGACCAATGCTCTACACACAAAACAAACATTTATTACAGTTTGCCAATTTTAACATATGCCCAATTAAAATCATTTAATTTAAGATCAGCTGAATCGTGTTAAAGGACAAAAATGCTTGAATGACCTTTTTGTTGCTCCCAAAAGATGATCCATGGTGTATGAATACATGTATTTGTCTAATGCACACATCAAAGCTGACATTTCATTCACCTTGTTACGTACTTGCATTTTTCTATCTGTGCGTCTGTGGCCCC